GACGATTTAACGATGAGCTGTATGAGCTTTACAACGATATAGACATAGTGCAGCGAATTAAAATTCAGCGGCTCCGCTGGCTTGGCCATGTCGTTCGGATGGACAGAAACGCTCCTGCTCTGAAAATATTCAACGCGGGCCGCGATGCTGGTAACAGAGGAAGAGGAAGGACTCCTCTGCGTTGGAAAGACCAGGTGGAGAAGGACTTGGCTTCACTTTGCATTTTCAATTGGCGTCAGTTAGCACAGAAGAGAAATGACTGGCGTGCTGTTTTGGACTCCGCCAAAATCGCTTAGGCGGTTACAGCGCCAAATAAGAAGAAGAAGAATTTACTCAAAATTTATACTGATAACAATCCCTTGAAATGAAATATTATTATGCAATTTTGGAAAATGGGCGTGATGCCGTCCACATATAACTATATAAGTTTATCTCATTATGTCTGACTGAACATTCTATCGAAAATGTTTAAAATTGCGGTAAAACCATGTACCATATAGCAATAGTTTTCGGAAAGGTGGAAAAAACTGTATCGAATACTTGCGCCGGTATTTAATGTTTGGCTCCGCCCGAACTTAGATTTTTTTTTACTTTTTTTTTCGTAAAATAAAGGCAATTTTCAGAAAAAAAAATCTTTAATATTTCTGTTGGTGTTGTTGTTACTTGGGTAATTCACTTATAAAGGGTACCAAGAAACTGAAAAAATTTATTTTAGTAAAAGGATGTACTTATAGCAGAATTTTTTTTATTCATTTATTAGTCCGACAGACTCAAAGATTCGACTATTAGTTATGCGTGTAGCGTAGAATACCAATTTGAACGTCTGCCACCGCATCTCCGTGGCATCTACAATTATAGCAAAAAAAAAGAAAAAAAAATGCATAGCCGCATACGCGAAACTTATTGTACGTATCATTTGACATATCGATGGCTGAGTGTAAGATCGACCTATCTCGGCAGCCAGTTCGAAAACATTCTATCTCTAAAAACTTTTCAAGAACGCCCTATTTCAGAATTCATTTCAAAAACGCCCTATTTCAGCTGCCGATTCAAAAACGCCCTATATCAGCATATTTTCAATACATTTTGAAGTGAGATAAGGCATTTTTGAACCGAATTTTGAGATAGGGTGTTTTTCAATTAAATTCTGAAATAGGGCGTTCTTGAAAAGTTTTTTGCGATAGAGCGTTTTTGAACTGGCTGCCGAGGTAGTTCGATCTTCCACTCAGCCATCGATATAATAAGCTTAAAAAATATCGTCTAAGGCAAAAATCACAAAAAAATATAAAAAAAATTTATTTCCGCAGAGATGGAATCAATAAAAATGCTTCTTTTTATTATTACCTTCCTTTTATTAACTCGGGATGTAACTATGTAATATTGATGCGCCTAAATATGCAGCGATTTCTACTCCCAAGTTGCATACCTGATGACAGTACGAATGGCATTTATAATAGGGAGGTTTTAGTTTTTTAAACTATAATTTTATTATAGTACTAAAGAGAAAAATAACAGTCTGCCGCCAATACTATACAACGAAGATCGTCTGCCAAGCCTATGAGTTGCGCATGGCAAGCATCGCGCGAGCACCACGGCTAATACGCTCTATTAAGTGTAAATATGAGTTATTGGCCAAAACGCTTAAAAATATTAGTGTTGTGAACTTAAAATAATTAGTTACTAAGTTTTAAGAGCCGCGCTTTATTTGCGTGATGCTTTTAAAACCTACAATGGATTTTGTTTTATTATTTTA